GAAATGCTGATTAAGCCCCAACTGTTGAATTATTTAAAATCTCTTTTAAACTTTAATGCAACACACTCTACTGACCTCCAAGACAAAGTAAAGAATTAAAGTTAAAAAAAACTACAAACAAATCAAGTAAATTTGCAATCAAGCATTTATTGTTACCCAAAGGTATAAGTAAAATATGTAATAAATGTATACCATAACACAATTTAAACGTACCTGCTGTTTGTATTGCAAACACAAAGTATAAACTTATTAAAAGTATTTATCTCATGATGCACACAAGCACGCACAGCAAATAGTCAATCTTTTAGTTCAGTGTAGCACGATCTGCTAATATAACAAAATATATTTAAGACTTTGGTACGGACTAATGGATAATAAAGATAATTAATCTAGCGATATCGCAAAATGTGCTGAATAATTAAAAAACACAATATACATTTCACAACCTCTTATAGATATCAACTGATAAATCTAAATTTGGTTCAATAGTCAGTGGTGTCATAAACGCATATTAATCGCCGTATTGTTTCGCTGCTTTTTAAGATGTTTAGTACGTGACCTCATTGTCAATTAGTGCATTTATATATGGATTATTAGTCAGAGCTTTTCAAAAGTTCTAATTATTTACGTGCACGCGTAGCTGTAGTTGTAGGTGTTGGTTGTGGATGTGAGTGTAGGTTTGCGTGTACATGTGCGTGTACCTGTATGGCAACAACTGGAGCCTTTGTTTCATCCCTGTGTAGCCTAGCGAATTCTAACAATCTAAGGGACATAACTAAACATTTTAAACACATTTTTTTTTACAAAAACTAGTTTGTATATATTTACTATAGAAACAGTAGGCCTATTAAATAAAAATTTTAATTGTATTCATGGGAATGTATATTAAGGGACGGGCTTGTTGGATGTATGTGTACCAAAATTACAATCTAGTCAATTTTTCTTGTAATATTCCTCAGTCAAAACAATATTAAACTACAGTTGCCCCTTGCATTGATGTATAATATTAGCTTATGTTTGTTAGAAGTTTATTTTATGGAAGCAAATTACCAATGTTCAGCTCGTAAATTTTAATAGCCCGTTATGATGGGGCAGTTGTTGACCAAGCTTCATTATTACTCAGGTTAAAGCTAGTTAGCGTTACATTTTCTGAACAAAATTTGAAATCTTGTAGTATTATTGAAGGAAAATTGTAATGTTGCTGTGTTATTGATGTTTCTTCCCCATTCTTACATTTTGAGCTACTCCGCCCTGCCCTTTCAGTAGACGGCACTACAACGTTATGAAAATAACCCCCTTAACAGTGTTAAGATACTCCCCCCCCCTGCCCTTTCAGTCAGAGGCGTCGTGAGGGGGGGGTAGGGGAGGACCGCTCCAGTTAACACCATTTAGTTGGGGGGTGGCACCAACGCATTTATATATATATATATATATATATATATATATATATATATATATATATATATATATATATATATATATATATATATATATATGTGTGTGTGTGTGTTCCTCCTTTATCTTTGGTTTTAAATTACTTCTCAACCCTAGCTCTTCCAGTCAATCGATTGATCTGCCTGCCATTTTTGGTGTGAAAAACATGGCTGTGTTTAACTACTAGGTTTATTGATCAAATTAGTTGGTAAACGTAAGAGGTACGGCGTGGTCTAATGTGACGTCACAATATTTTAGTCAGTGTTTTCCCAATAAGCTATATGGTGATCTAGTAACGTTCTTTTAATATATGCAAGTCTTCCACAAATAAATTACAAACTCACCAACACGGTTTATTTCATCTTTAGTGTACAGGTTCCCATCAAGCAAACCATTAAATAAAATACGCCGAGGCTATGGTTACTACTAAACATATTTAAAAGAAAGACAAACACAAGGCAGTTTTTATTTCATCATAGTTGTCGTCATAACAATTATATAATCTTCTTGTCCTTCCTGTCATATTGCCTTCAAACAGGTGATTCAACTACATAACTGATAACATACACAAAATAAAATTACCATACTTAATGTTCCATATTGATAACATCTCGCTCTATGACGTCAGTAATCAAATATCTTTGTCGTTATCTATCCAATTACCGTTTATCTAGTCAAGAACTTCACTCAACACAAAACAATAAAAAAAGCAAGAGTTATCTTGCTAGAGTTTACAAGCTATTGGTAGTTGACAACATCAATAACGACCATAAAATTGCATACGATTCAAATACGGACTAAGCGGTAAAGTAATGAAAGATCATTGTTTAAACAGAGACACAATACGTCTTTTCAAACGATCGCGCCCATCACATGGTAATCGATTACCACTATGCAAGATCCAGGTATTATTTATCGCACGTTGTGTTTGTACAAGCCCCTAAGTGATGTCATAAAAAGTCTGATGTCTTTTAATTTAAACATTTGTTTTTTTACTTGTTTAAAGAAAGAGCTCTAACACTACTGTTAACACGAAGGCCTACATTAAAGTGTGTAAACTTAACTAGCTGTTACTATATAACAAAAGCAAATTATCTTGTAATTTCTTCTGCAAACTAAGCAACAGACAAAAGAGTTTGGTCTGTGGACTTTTCAGGCAATGTTTTCCGCACTTTAGGCTTCTATGCAAAAGACAGTATTGGAGCTTGGAGACAGTGGCACAACATTTAGCGGGTTGACTTTTAACAGCTGACATTCTGTCGTGGTCCTAATCCAGTTGACAGCTGTACACGTCTCACTGTCACGACGTTGTACACACAGGGAGGTGCAGGTCAGGGGGTTAGGGGTGTAGGTCACAAACATTGGGGACACTTGCAAGAAAGAGTTGTCTTTTATCAAAAAATTAGGGTTGGCGTGGTCGAGTCGGTAAAGCTCATGGTTGCTAAACCGAAAAGTCTCGAGTTCGAACCCTCGGGCAGATGAGGCTCGTTAGCTGGGGACAGCCACTCTTCTAGGAGAGACAACTCCAAAATTAAACAACTGCTGCCTTGTAGTTTGTTCTTGGTTGGACAAAGGCTATGGAAGCAAATCCAAAAAGAAAAGCAAGCTGAAATCGGAGTCAATGGCCTCAATGGCGCATAACCAATTGACACGTAACGCTTAATTGTGTTGGAGGCGTGGTCGAGTCGGCAAAAAAAAAAAGCTCATGTTTCGAGTTCAAACCCACTGAAATCTCGATCCCCATCAACACTAATAATTAAGAACGAAGAAGAAGAAGAAAAGATAAAAAAATTGTTTTCCATGTAGGTTGCAGCGCTCGCCATGACTTGTATCTCACAAACATTCAAAAAGTCGAAAGTGTATCTGTAAATAAATATATCAAACCTAGCAAACAACTATTCAATAAGCTGATAAAACGGCATCTATTAAATACGTCAACATTCTATTATAACACATAGGTTATAACACATAGGTTATCTTTTAATAGCTTTCAGCTGTTGCCAATTCATCTATACATTTGGAAGGTTTACCTTCTTTCTATTGCATCATGTGTTTGTGTTTCCTGATTAAGGTTTTAGTCACCAATATTGAATAATTAACAAACACGCGCGTGTACATGTGAATGTCAGAACAGCTTTGGATGTGCACTGTATTTGTTTTACCATCACATTTATTTTCGATTTCTCGTAATATATTTTAATTTGAATTCTTTGTTATCTATAACCCTAATCTCTTATATAATCAAGCCATTCGACAACAATGTGTTGCAACCTCATGTTGATTTACTATTACATATACAGATGTGATTGTAATAGGTTCTAATGCAGTTTTCTCGAGTTGTGATCGTGTATAGTTAAGATGCTAGTCGCAAGTCTTAAAAATAGATTTTAATATCAAAATAGTAATAATTTAATTATCTAAATATGTCATTTCAGTGTTGCAACTAAATCGTTTGAAGTATAAAAAAAAATTTAAAAATGTATTACTTAAAATTCATTTTTGCAAATTGAGTGATTATTTCTTACGATACTTATGTTAAAACTAACAATTTATTATATGTAAACAACATTAAATATTCTTTTAAAAGTGAATTATATGCGTGATTTAATGTTTGATTTGTAGCAAACTAAATATGACTTTGTTTATTTTTCAAACATCTACTTTTGGAAAATGTATTACTTAATTAAGAAATATACACTGAGTAAATTCTGGTAAAGCACCACACTAATTACAAAATTAATTTTAAACAAGTATTAAATTATAAATTTTTCGAATCTGAGTAAGGCAGTAAAGACAGATAACATAGTTTATGTTTAGTTTTGATTAATATTTTGGTTATGATACTTTGTTCAACAAACGTTTATTTTAAATAAAACTAATTCAAGCAGCATTTTTAGAAGTCAGTTATATTATAGTATGCTAAGCTATAAGTACAGAGCACTTGGGCTCGATCGAAATCGATACAAAATATATCAACTTTCTTTGACAGCTTATTTCGTGAGAAGTCGAAAACCTTGAAAGATGTCATATGATCCGCAATGAAAGAAAAAGAAAAATGTTAATGATATTTTATCCAATGTTTTGTTTTATTTAGAGCCTAGAACTGTTATCGATTACAAATTATTTATCTCATGACCTAAATCCTTAATCTAAGTAGATAAGCCCATTTAACACGTTCAAGGTTTATTTTCTATTTTCCTTAGTTGATAACAGGCAACACGTTTTTTTTTAATTTGGACACAAACTACACACTTCGTAAGTAACATATAAGGTGTTACATTAGCTCAGCATTTGATAAATGAGTCATGGTAAATTGATAACATATAATATATAATTATTATGGGAATTTAATAGACTCAAGTGCAATTCAACCAGTATTTAGTAGTTAACAAATGTAGTTTAATACCGTTTGTATATATCTAAATGGATCGATTTACATTGATAAAATAAGATTATATAATTATATATATATATATATATATATATATATATATATGTACGTGCTCTACTATCTTTGATTAGTGTTTTAATTAGGTCAAAGTGTTGGTATGTCTGGTGATAACAGTTATCACTTTTGTAAGTCATTCATTTTAGAAACCTTAAACCTCTAAATAATAACACGGCTAAAAACTAAAGTAAGTGTTATTTTTTTTTAATTTAGGAGTTTTTCCACCCATACGCATGTTCAGTAATTCTTATACGTTATTTATGGTTTATACTCATGTTATGTAGCTTTTCATTGTCTAAACTAAATGTTATATTTAAACAAAAAATGTAGAAAAAAAAAGTTTTAGAATATTGATAAACCAATTGATCAACTGTATTATTACGCTGTTCAAAATATACAGAGTTTATTCAAATGTTTATATCTAAACTTTAAACATTTACCCAAACTATTTATACGCTAGTATGTTATTATTATGGCGACATTTAAAAAATTAATAACGTAATGTTCAGATGCGAACAATGTACGAAGTTCTTGCGATCACACCATTGATACAGCTACTAGAGAAACAAAGAGACGTGGTAACTCATGTAGTTAACGATTTGAACTGTGTAAGTAAATACAACCTTAATTTCTAAATATGTATACGTATACCAGCTGGTTATTAAACAGTAATAGCTTATAAATGGAAATCTCTTTTAGCGTGTGTATACTCAGGAATAACGGTTATTTTGTACGAGATTTACAAGGTATTTTCATTGTTAACATTTTAAAATTATATTTACCAGATAATATATGAATGCAAGTTGTGGTTGAACACAGAAGATACAAAAAACAAAACATTTCTTCAAATGATGCAGTGTATAGAAGACATACAGACTTCTGCTTTAAAGACATGTTCTTCTTTATTTGGTTATTTCATACGGTTTTGTTTGTCGCTGTTCAAAATATTGATTTAATTCACATTTTAAACATGTTTCTTAAATACAAATACAATTAAGTCATATCCATTAATGTTTTAATTTTTTATAACAGCTTTATGCCTTTATATGATACGCAGTTTAAATGTGGCTGTGATATAGATTATTATCGCTTTGCATATGTAAAAATGTGATTGGTATTTCAGAGAAAGCACAGCAAGAAGATTTAGAAAATATGTCACTATTGACCAGCCCGACTGAAATTGATTCAACTAAAGTACAGCATGAGACTACATGTAAGATACAGGAGGATACCATGGACAGAGTTGTAAATTCAATAGAAGATTTGAATATTTCTAATTCTTCCAATAAAACAAAAATAGAAGAGTTAGAAATCGCCACCAGAGATTTAACAATGAAAGCAAACGTCCAAGAAACTTCGTTGAATAAAGTATTAGAACAACTTTTGGTGCTCTCTTCAAGTGTAGAAGATCTTGATGGCAAATATAAGCGTTTAGAACTAAAGGTCAGTGGCTGACATTTTATGCAATGCATTGTATGTTTACTAGACTATAGTTTAAAGTTTTTCAACGTTGTATAAAAATAAACAAGCGAAACGTGTCTTTGTTGATTGTTTCATATAAATAATTTGTTCATCAAGTACTAACCAAGAGATTTACACAGCGAGTTGATAATTATTTATTTTTTATATATCCCTTTCCAACAAGACCTCGGTAATTTTTTTTAATGTCCCATGTAAGGAAAATGATAAAGTGGGTTTTCTGACACGGATTAGCTAATTTTATCCCCGTCGGTCAAGTATTTGCAAATTATAACAAGTGTACAAAATGTGCATCATGTCGCACGGAAAAAAAATTTAGTGCAAACCAATTTTAAAATTCGTGTTTTTTATTCAGAGTTTTCTTTGGCCAAAACAAGTGTGTACAAAAATGACCAGCGTGTCGGGTATACGTTTATACATATACACAGATATTGTGGCAAGGCCTACTCCTAGGAGCTTCTATTATTTGCTTTGAAATTTAATAGCAAATTGCGTTTTAAAGTTTTACTTGACAGTGAATTCGCTTTTTGTTCATAGCTGTTAACTTATGTTTATTTTTGTTTTTTAAAAAAGTTTATTTTTAACAGGGAAACAGCAAAACAAAAAAACCAAAGATAAAGTCTCTTCACTAGCCGGAAGTGGGAAGCCTGTGGGAGGAAGTGTTCAACCGTCACAACCACCTATAGCAGGTGGTAACTGGTGGGGAAATGAAGTGAGTTCGTCAAGTAGTGGTCATTACGGAGGTTGGGGTGGATCTCATGGAGGGAGAGGTAGTGGGGGCTGGTCATGAGTTTGTTTTATTACCGTACTGTATTAATTTCTAGCATACCATGAAGGAGCAGCGGCACACCAATCTGCTTCTTTTTTAAACATTACACGCCTGTAAATGACAGCTTTAGTTTTGACAATATACGTCTATAAATATAAAAGGCTTTTGTTCCATTTGTAATGCATTTCGATCTCATAATTATGGTTATTATTATGTTAATATTGTATTGTATTGCTATACTCTTCACTTACTAATTTTAACATAAATGCGTCTCTAGTAAGAAAAGTATTTTCGTATCAGGTATAACAGTACGCAGCTATCAACTAATGATTTTAATTTGATTGAATGATTGTTGTCTTCTGCTTTATAGTTGTGACGGATTTATTGACGACCCATAGAAAATTAAACGTTGAATGAGCAAAATAATTATAGTGTTTATAAAAAAACTATGTATATAATCTAACGACAGTTTTGCTTTAGATCAGGTAAAAATGTTGTAGTTAATTTTACACAATCCAGGTACAAAGCTTGTTATTTAATGCACAACAGTCAATAACCAACTATTTGTGTTTTTAATATAAGAGTTTGCGTGTCATTTAATTAGACATAGACAGTTTTATTATTTCAAGCATTTTTATTAATCCACTCGGTCATTTACCAAAAGATCTTTTTTATTATGCTAACATTTAAATATTTCATCTTTTGAAAAGTGTTATTTAATAATCCAGTTAGAATTGATAAAAATGAACTTGTTAATTTCTACAATTTATAGTCTGAAATGTTGTTTTTTTTTAAGTATAAGCTTTTAAAGCATAAAATAGCTACCACGAGTCTATATGGGCTCTAAGTCCACCAAACTAAGATGGAGTTTTGAATAATAGTAAATAGAGTAATTAGTCGATTATACCATTCCTTCAAATGCCGAAGACACATAAACATAGATCGCCGTGTAGGTCTAAATATATTCACGTTGAAAGCATGTTAAAGGATAAAGTGGATTTACATTGCGTTATACAAAATAGATGCTGATCTTGTGACTGTAAAATCGGCATACCGAACATAAATATATATCATTTAACCCGTACCATACGTGTTTTGTATCAATCAATGAAGCTGATGACATTGCTATAAGTGTAACATAAGCAAAGGCAAATAAAACGGATGACGCTTTGCTCTAACATGCTATGTATTGAACAATATATGTGAACAGTACATGTTCTAGCGTGCTAAATCTCAAAGTATGTAAAAGGGATATTTGATTATACAAAATAATTGTAGTACAATGATAGGTTTTTTAATAATAATAGTAAATATACTATTTTTCAATTATTTCATTCTCCATCAAAAAATAATATAAAAGTCTACTTGTATAAAACTGAAAAACGAAACAAAATGAAAATGTCAAGTTTCTTTTTAATTACGTTACTACTGCGCTGATATAATGCTGATATTGAACAAAGAACAACGAAAAAAATTGAAAACAATATTCAAAAACAAGTGTTTTTTTTTGTCAATAAGTCAATATATATGTGAAATGTCAATATTATTTTACTTGATATTTTTTAAATTGTACATGCAAAAAGACCGTTGGAGACTAAAAACAAAAAAAAATAAAATAAAAATATTTTAATAATATAAACAACAGCGAATGCTTTAAATCGACATAAAATTTTTACTGCAAATAAAATATATCGTTATTGTATCATTTATTGTTTCATGGATTTGTTAATTACAAATTTATGTAAAATCACGAGATCCACATGTAATAAACCTGATAATAAAGTTAAAGAATTTTTTAGCCAAATATTTTAGGAGCGAAACTAAAACAATTTTCGAAAATGTGTAAATTCAATTTTAAAGAAATTATTGATTTTTTTCGATATTCCAAAACACAAGCAACAGGACACCCACTTACACCAAGATCAACACGAAATCATCAATCTTCCCGAAATACAGACCAGGTCTTAAAGTGACATTTTTTAAATGTAATCTATACATGAGTGCTCTTGTTGGTCGCAAAATTGTTTATATATATATATATATATATATATATATATATATATATATATATATATATATATATATATATATATATATATATATATATATATAGGATAGTTTTTTAGTTTAATATTACCCCGCGCGTTACATGTTTGCGGCTCTAGTGTCTCTTTCTCAGGATATAGACAGTAAAGTTACAAAGAACTTCTGATTCATTGGATTTTATTTGTCGTGGCACGTGTTTGAAATGCGTGAGTAAATCACTTTCTGTAATAATAAGATAGAACTCAATCCGACAACGGCACAAGTGTCAGGGATGTAGCGGGGACTCTCGTTAGCCCTCGGTTTAAATATCGAATGTCGTGTGCAACCGTATCAGTATTGACGGTTGATTTTCATAAATAAAATAGGCGCCACATTGATAACATGATAGCCACGGGCGCAAAATCACGCCCTGCACCTGATTCAATTTAGTGAAAAACTATATTGACCCATTGTATTAGTAGCCTAAAGTACTGTTTAAAACGAACACAGGCGCCGTACATTTATTGGCAAAGCCAAATTGCCTCTTGCCTTGTCTCAGCCCCGGTCGATATTGCACATTGTTATCCCCTGGTGTATTTTCGTTAACTATCCAAGTTTTAAGTCAATCAGTTGGAAGTTGTAGTAATGCATATAGGACTAGCCCAAAAACCAATCCACAAACAAACCGACGTACCTTCGTATATATATATATATATATATATATATATATATATATATATATATATAATTTTGTAATAAATTAGTAATTTACATCATTCTTTGTAATAGCCTGAGTGTTCGGTTTAGTAGTCCAGTTTTCATTATCGGCTTGTGAGGAATGCTACAGTTATAAAATAATAATAGACATGTTTTTGGTTTTCTCAAATGAACTTTCATGCAGCATAACCATATTACAAATGTTAAATTTAATTTAAGCTAAACATAAAAATGTGAATAAATAATTACATGTTTCGTAGGTATTTACATTTTAAAGTTGAAGGGTTTAAGGGGTAAAGCTCATGGTTGCTAAACCAACAAGTCTCGAGTTCGAACCCTAGGGCTTGGGACAGTCACTGTTCTAGGAAGACAACTCCAAAATCAAACAACTGCTTTCTGGTAGTTTGTTCTTGATTAGAATATATATATATATATATATATATATATATATATATATATATATATATATATATATATATATATATATATATATATATATATATATATATATATATATATATATATATATAATATATTTATATATAAATATAAATAAATATATATATATATATATATATATATATATATATATATATATATATATATATATATATATATATATATATATATATATATATAATTTAATATATATTAAAGTGAACATTATTTTAATTTCAAGTTTACCTACTGAAATCAAGTAGACAACATAAACGCTTGTTAAGCTATAATGACATCACACACATGACTAGAGATAATTTACATCAGACAAATGTGAAAATTCATTTAACAACCTGAATCAGTGACATGAATCTCAAGGCTAAGGTATAAGAGATACATTTAACATGATAAAAGTGACTTGAAACTAATTATAATGATATAACTATCATTTTCATCTTGCTAGTGTTGAAATTATTCTGCTCATCTTATTTAGTTTTCTTGTGGGTTTGTGGCAATATGCAGATCTGTGATCTGCCAAATGTTGTTAATTGGACAACAATGTGACATATTCAGATTTATTAATTTTCTTAAGTTAAAAAATGTGCAATTCTTTTTTTTTATTATTTAACTACTTGCTCTTAGAAGGGAAGGCTTGCACTAAAGCAATATAAATAAACAGTATTTTAAATTTGACATTTATACAGCCCACTTTCCTAGCAAGTTAGTACGCGTATACATTATTTTTTAAATTCACTATATTGATTTTAAGGGTTCCTGCTTTCTATAGAACCCTGCTGACGTTACGCTCTGTAAACTATCTTGACGGCTTGTTAAAAGAGTTTAATACAACCAACGGGGCGAGTTATTTCTTAAGCAGAGTTTTAGAGTGGTTCTGACGTCAGGTATGTTACAGTCCTAGAGGTCAACTTCACAGTCACGTGAACACACGTAGCCTGAATAGTAATAGACATCGTTGTTTGTTTTTTTCCTGACAAGCACCATAAACATAGAAATGTATAACAATAATAATAATAACCCCCGCCCTCCATCGAGCCTATTATTATTAAATCATGAGATCTTCATTATTAGTGGGACAGAAAAAAATATATTCAAAATGTTGATGTTAACTTAATAAAGTTTAGTATTGATTAGTATTGTATGGATTACGTAAAGTGTAAGATTTTAGGTATATTTTTTGAAACCCGTACCAAATTTAGGCCAAATATGAAGTATATCCATACATTTACGAATCAATTCTGTTGTTTTGTGCTGATTAGATTATCTGTCCCAACAAATAAATCAGTCGAGATATGGTTGGGTAAAGTACCAAGCCAGTCTTGTGTTACATTTTCTTACTCTTCGCTCTTTATTTTTTCTAAGCTTGCTATATATGTATTGAATTGGGTGTATTTGTTGAGATAAATTCGATAATACGCTTACTAAGTTGTGCACATCATTCCTAGTGTAAAGTTTAAAGAATAGTTACGAAATGACACTCTTTTGACACATATTCAAACTAAGTTATTTTAAAAAATATAATGATTAGTTCCAAAACACAGTTTTCATTTGAGAAATGTAATGTGTCTTTATACTTTTGTAGCAAAGTGAATTTTGTGTTGGCTTAAAGTTAATGAAGATCCGAAACATTATACCCCTATTATACCGCATTACCGACTTATTGATTTTATCGATTATTTCATTGGGATTTTTTTAAAAGCCACTAGAAGAGCAACCTATTCACGACAGTGAAAGGGTAGCTATTTGAATAACCTGCATAACGTCTTACCAAAGTTTTTTTTTTATTCAGTGGAAGTCGCCTGAACGTATAATTCATGTTTACAGTAGCTACGTTTGTCTCTCTACTCGACAGTGTGTTGGTGACGTTTGCGTGAAGCGCTTGTGACTTAGTTTGCCCCTACACAGCAGTTTGTCTTTAGCAGGTAAAATATCTTCTTTTTTTACTTTCTCTTTTACGGAGTATAGAGAACGTATTGTAATCGTGCAAAAAAAATTGAGATTTTTGCAAATCTTGACGTTTCACACCTCCATGAGTCGGAAAAACATAGTTTTGCAATCTTGTCCGTGTGTGT